CAACGCTGATTCGACGTTCGTTTGGTGAACGGCTCCAAATTTTCTTTAACGGAGAGTCTCCAGACTGATCTGCGAGTGAAAACTTGAAAGCTCGCGAGATCAGGATGGTTTTACGAGGCTACCTTGGCTTAAGGCTGCTCCTTACAACTTACAGGAAAATCTACAGCTAATATCTTGGTGTTGAATGCAGAGATAAGGCTTGACCAGTATTGGCTTTGAGGGTTTAGGACTTTATTATAGCATAAACAGAAATCAATATATTATTGGTAAGGTAGATACAATGGTATGCCTGAGTGAAATATATGAACTGCAGCAAAGTTTGAACTCATGAGTTTAATAACAAAGACAAAAACAGCAGTGCATACTGCTGCCGTGCTCTAACATTGTTATTTATACGATATTTAAAACAAACAATTCTAGAAGCATCTGGGATTATAATTCAGATCTAAGTTTACAGCTCCTTCTTGACAGTTTCTCTATTGAGATCCTTGCTCCACTTTAGGGTGGCATTCATTCCTCTCTCCCGGAGTCTGTCTTGAAGCTGGGGTACACACAGAAGCCATTTAAAAAACAAGTAGTTTTTTTCTTCCATAAAATAAACACATTCTAATTAAATGTGCGGTGCTTTGACAAAGTTAGAACACCCTTCACCATTTAAACATTTATACTTTGATTTAGTTTTATTATGGTTTCTTTGGGGATTTTATGTGATTGACTGACAAAATATGTGATTTTGTGAAGGTTGAATTAAAAAGACCTTTATAAAAGTTGTTGGGGGTTTGGAAATACAAAGCTGAAAAGTGTGACATGCATTTGCATTTAAATAAATACTAAACTTTTTGCTATCTTTGGGTTTTTAGTCAGCAGCTTTAAAAATAAAATATGTACCCATTTTACCTTGCAAAATAGTTTGAGTTCAATCTGATTTAATTCTCTATCGATACCATACAAACAGTATCTCAATTGGATTTAGGACTTTCTTAAACCATTTAGTCGTAGTTCTTACTGTATATTAAAGGAAAATTCCGGTTTTTAACACTTTTAGCCCATTTTCTGTAGTGTCCAGGATGAAATCGAAT